TAGAGTTCTTAAACTTAATCCTTTTCTAAGGTTCTGAATCCACTTGCCCATGATACGTGGATTTCCCCGCCCGGAGAGTTTCTCAACATGATAGTCGCGGAACTGTGCGACTACTGTGGCTTGAGTAAGAGTCGGGTAATCGGATTCCCTACGGGGCGACCTCTGAACGTTGAGAAAGTTTAACATTACTGAATACATGATAGCATTCTGACTGATTACTAAGGCACACAAATCTCTTGACGAGTCGCCAAAAGTGGCCGATAAATACTGACGTGAAACCTGAAGAACTCTAGAGTCTTATAGGAAAATCCTAGTGTCTAGAGTCATATCTGAATATCCTGAATTCTAGAGTCATGTCCGAACTCTAAAGTCTGAATCTTATTCGAGCATCTTAACTAAAGTCCTGATCCTTAATTCTGAGCATAGACAAAGTAATATGTTTATTACTGAAAAACTGAATCATCACTTACCTGTCGTCGGCGGGGCGTGAACATGACGGTTCAGGTTTTCCTGAAAAATTACTGACTGAAAAAAAACTTTTTCAGAGACGCAGAAACGTGCTCTGATACCAATCTAGTAAAAGATGTCCCACATTGGTTGTTGAGGAGAACGAAGCATGCCATATAAGTGGCTGTGGACACCTCAACCTACAGGACGCGTTTTGGTGAGCTAGCTCCCAAAGGCAAAACCGTGAGGGAATGATCTGGTGTATACCCAAAGCGGACAATATTCTGTAGCGGGTGAGCTGGGCTGTTGCATATGGTATCAGAGCCAGGTTCCCGGACTGGTGTACCAGCAGGGACGCTGGGCCCTCCAAGGGGGGTGGAATCTAGTAAAAGATGTCCCACATTGGTTGTTGAGGAGAACGAAGCATGCCATATAAGTGGCTGTGGACACCTCAACCTACAGGACGCGTTTTGGTGAGCTAGCTCCTAAAGGCAAAACCGTGAGGGAATGATCTGGTGTATACCCAAAGCGGACAATATTCTGTAGCGGGTGAGCTGGGCTGTTACATATGGTATCAGAGCCAGTACCCGGACCGATGTGCCAGAGGGACGCTGGGCCCTCCAAGGGGGGTGGAATCTAGTAAAAGATGTCCCACATCGGTTGTTGATGAGAACGAAGCATGCCATATAAGTGGCTGTGGACACCTCAACCTAGAGGACGCGTTTTAGTGAGCTAGCTCCCAAAGGCAAAACCGTGCGGGAATGATCTTGTGTATACCCAAAGCGGACAATATTCTGTAGCGGGTGAGCTGGGCTGTTACATAAAACGCGTCCTACTAGTTAAGGCTTGCCCTTAACCCTGACTTGCACTGCACAGCGGTGCGTGGTAGGATATTGTCCCTGATCTGAACCCAGGGTTTTGTTCTGGTACTGACCCAGACGCGTCCTACTAGTTATAAACATATTACTTTGCCTATGCTCAGAATTAAGGATGAGGACTTTAGTTAAGATGCTCGAATAAGGTTCAGACTTTAGAGTTCGGACATGACT